TGCTTATATACATGCAGGGAATACACTCACACACATAAAAATAATAAATATTAGGACCATCTTGGACAGAAACGGTGGCACAGAAAAAATGGCCCCAGTGTCTAACCGGGTGGACATGAAAGGGGGCATTTATGGACCTTGGGCGATGCTGCGGGCCCAGGAGACATGGGTGAAAGCTAACGGAGACTGTGGTGGGGCGCGGAAACCATCTGGAATGGTGGGCCGCTGAGCCACAGAGCAGAACAGAGCTCCAGGTGTGGGGTGCCAGGTGTGGGGCACTGGGTGTTCGTCTTTGTCAGTTACTCTATTTCCCCACCTTGGCTATAAACTATGAAAAACTCAAAAAAAATCTCTAAATATGTGGTCAGTTCTACATATATCCATAAGATCAAAATAATGATAATAATAAATATTAAAAAATCTTTGTATTTAATCTCTGATTACTGACTTAATTAGATTACCTTAATTTCATGTGCTAATTTAGCATGACTGATTATTTTAAGATATTTTAAATACTTTAATCAAAGAACACATGAATGGATGTGATCACTGCAAATTGTATTACTACATTTACCTGTACCCCGTTTTAAAACAATGCTGTATGTTCAATTAATGCATTTTAAAAAGCCTTTTTAGACTCTATAGATACACTACTAATTTAGGTTTATTCCAGGAAGTTTAATGATAATTTTCTCTTGTATGTTCATGGGGTTGCATTATCTTTAGAACTGGAATTTAAAACTGCCTTCTCAGAGTGATCCAGATTACAGGATCTGAATCATTTATCATTTAGGGTTTTGGTTGCTTTGTCCAAATTAATGACTTGAACTAGACTCAGTGGTTCATAGTCAAGCTGAGCTTGCTTTTTAGGGGTTGACTTCACATAGGTTGTTAAACATTAGCTTATTTAAATTTTTTGTATTATTTTTATTTTATGTTTTTGAGTGTTTTGCCTGCATGTGTGTGAGTGCACCATAGGCATGCAGTGCCCACAGAGCACAGAATCTGAGCATGCAGTAGGGATGAATATGAAGGTTACTAACGGTTAAAAGGATTTCTGTTTATTGGCTAGAGAAATCTCCCTTTGGAGGTTTAGGGGTTCTTTAAGTTTTCTTATTTATGAGGTTATACATTTTACCAGGATTTTCTTATGTACTGGCTACCAGGTTATAGAATGGTTTTACAGGAAGATGTGGACGCAGGGGAATAGCACCTACATTTAATCTGGCATACAGTGCCCTCTTCTCCTGCTGGGTCTATACTGCTCACTCTTCACTTTATACCTTGGGCATTTCAGTGTTTTATGCTGAGTTGCTAGAAATTACAGCTGCTAGTAAGGAATGCACACTGTTCTTACTTCACCTTGCTGGATGCTTCCCTGAATCAGAGAGTTCTCTTTTTTTTTTTAAATTCGGGGTCTTCAGGGAGAACTATCAGACCTCTGTGGGAGGTCAACAGAGCTGACTCCCAGGTCTTTAGCAGGGCCAGAGCTCTGCTTTCCGTTGTGCTCTCAGTTGGCCAGATCCCATTTAAGTAGTTTGTCTCGAATATTGGAAACTTGAAACCTTTCCAGAACAGTAACTTTGCCTTCTGTGGAAAACTCAAGTATATATTACTTTACTGGGCGAAGATGCACACACAAAGCAGGCGCTGGTGCTAGTATGATTTCAGGCTGACCTGCTGGATGCCAGCATTAATTGTGTATAAACTTAATTATGTGGAGAACTTGTTCATGAAGTTTATGGTGTGGTGTGGGGTACTCAGTATATACATGGATAGCAATCATGACTGTCATTGCTTATTTTGTCCTAGATTTGATACACTGTGTCAAATTTGGCAGTGGTATATGCAACAGTGTTGTTTTTTCTCCCCCAAGAAAATTCTGCTCAGATATCAAAGTACTTCACTAAATTTCAGTGAAATGCATATATTAGGTTTCTACTCTTGTGTAACACAGTACCACAGACACACAGGCTTATTATCTGTTTTGATAGGCTAGAAGTCTGAGTGTGGCATAGGGTTTCTTTGCCCAAGATCTCACCAGGCTGAAATCAGGGTGTTGCTTGGGTCATGGATCTCATCTAAATCTCAAGGTCCTTTTACGTGTCAACACAACTAATATTCCTTTGGTACCCACTTTTCTGCTGGTTGTCATGGCAAAGTCTACTTTGTGCTCTGTGGTCGCCTAGACAGGTCATCGCTTTTCTCCAGACTGTTCGAATTCCAGCTCCCTGTCTTTCATTTTCTGACTCTAGCTGGAGAAAATGCAGTTGTTAAAGGGCCCCTCTGTTTAAGTTCATTCCATCTAGGTAATGTTCATTTGCCATATGGCATAATATAATCATAGGATAGCACTCATAATTGCATTGGGGGGGTAATTCAAAGGCAAAAAATGGTGTTGTTTTAGAATTCACTTATTATAATACAGTTAGAGTTAAAAAATCTTGTTGATGGCATTTCATGAGTATATGTGTGTGTATAATTTTGTGTCAAGATTGTACTTTTTAAATAATAGCATTTTTATAAATGTCTCAGATTCACCTTTTAGCAAAAGTATGATTAATTATTTGAATGAATCTTCGTGTATATGATTTATTACAAGAAGATTGAGAAGGGCATTGTGGGAGGAAGATGCAATAACATAGTAACATCCTTATTTGCATGGGATTAGGTAAAGAACTATTGAATTTCACATGTGATCTGTTGATAGGATATCTGGAAAACATGATACTGCACAAACTACTATGGTAGTAGTAATTTTTAAATTAACCTGTGAACTAGGGACTAATTTGCAAGGAATATGCTTGATAATGCAGTGAGAGCACTATCACAGGTGTGTGCTGATAAGAGTGTACGGTGTCCAAGAAATTTGTTTTCTGTTGACATTTTATTAATTACTAGTAGAAATGATGAATGTGAAATGTTTAAGAATGTTTGTGAGAAATACTTACCCTTGAACATTAGGAGAAGGCTGCCACTCTTCTGTATTAAGTGAATACTTTAGAGAAGTTGGTTTTCCACAGGTGCATAGTTTCCACTGATCTTTATAATTATTGAGTGTGCCACAGTCAGCATTGAGAGGCTACCTGACTCAGCACCATAGTAATGTCTGGCCCTTAAGGCATAAAGATGGAGAAAGGATTTACTTGCAGTAAATTCTGTGCCTGTTTTTCTTGTTTACATTGTATGCACTCAGACTCATCAGAATTTCCAGCTGCAGTGCTTTCTCTCCTGAATCCAACAAATGACCTTGTGAGTCTGAGTTTGGGTAGAACTGGTAGCAGGAAGGGCAATAAAGAAAAGGTTTATGTGATCTCATGAACTGGTTAGGACTCAAGTTCATCCTGTTAGCATTATGGTAGCTCTTAATGCTCTTTCCTCTGCTGTTGTGAGGAAGTGACATTTCATCCTTGCTTATCTTTTCCATGGCTGTGCTGGTGTAAATATGCTCAGCTACACTTCATTGTAAGGTTTTCCACATATATTCTATGTAAGAAAAGTGGACATTGTAATTTGATAAAGTCTCATTTACTATAATATATATAGTTCAAAGATTTTGATTTCAAACTAGACTATAGGGTTAAAATTAGCTGCATTGTCTCCTTGGAAGAGGAGATGTTTTGATGGGGTGTCTGATACGGATAGGGGTGGAGTCCAAGCACACCACCAGGTCTCTATTATTTACCTATGAATTCACATCTCATCGATATCCTTTTGTCATTTTATATATAGTTATTACCTTACTTTGGCTCTCATATGTAGTGTGTGTGTGTGTGTGTGTGTGTGTGTGTGTGTGTGCACGTGCATGTGTGTGTGAATTTATAAGTGTAACAAAGACTAGATTCTTGGAAATTTCAAGATCCTGTCAATTAGTCTTCCTTTTTATGTCCTCACTTTCTCTTCGTACCTCTTAGATTTTGCTTTCCCTGCCATTTTTTGTAGTTCCTTACGTGGCTTCTGAGGTTTATCTTTAAATATAATGTTTGGTATTATTATAAATGTGTCTTTAAATTTTAATTACTGATTATTTTTGTCTCTATTTAGAAATACAAGTGATTTTTGCATATTGATCATGTGTCTTGGAACATTCATAGACATTACATTTATGAAAGGGGACTTTTAAAATTATGGATTTAGTGGTCTTTTTCCAAGGTGATTATATCTTAAGAGTCAGCTTTCTTTCTTTGATAACATTGTGAATGGCATTTATTTTTCTTGCCTTGTTGCATCATCTAGAAAATATACTACAGTGTTGAATTAAAGTGGTGTTAAGTGGACATTCTTGAGTTGCATTTGTTTTTAGAGAAAAATGTTGTCTCATTATTAAGTATAATGTTAGTTAACATTTTTATGTAGATACCTGTTTATTGGGTTGAGAATGTTTCACTGAGGGTGTCTATTGTGGATGGTTATTGAATTATCAAATTCTTTGTCTCAGCTTATTGAGATGACTGTATGATTAAAACTGCTAATTATATTTGTTGTAGAATAATTCACTCCATAACATTTTAAAACAACCCAACCTTTTCTTATTACATGACTTCTGTAAGGCTAGAATCTAGGTGCTCCTTCATTGGCCTACACCTCTGTCTCAGTGGCTGTCAAGCAGAAGGCCAAGGCTATGGTTATACTTGAAGGCTCAACTCGTGTAGTTTTCAAGCCTTCATCCTTCTGCACATGAGCCTTTTTACAGGGCTGCCTCAGGACATGGCAGGTGGTTTTTCTCAGGGATAACGATCTATGCAATAAGATGGGTCAGGGCACTAATACAGAATTTACAACCTTTTGAAAAATTTTCTTTGAGAAGTAGTGTCGCATGACCTCTCCTACTCTGATTATTGGGCCTAAGTCAATAACCTATGCTTCAGAGCAGGGAACTTAAGAGTTAGTAAATTGATGATCATACATTTTTAGCACACTTCTTAGAATAACAAATTACCATGTTTAGTGACATTAAAGTTTCAGTGGAGAGTTCTTAGTTTCTTTCTTTTATTTTTCAGATATGTGTCACAAAGATGTCTACACGGAACTGCCAGGGAATGGATTCAGTGATCAAACACCTGGACACAATTCCCGAGGATAAAAAAGTCAGGGTTCAGAGGACACAGAGCAGTTTTGACCCATTTGAGAAACCTACCAATCAAGTAAAAAGGGTACATTCTGAGAACAATGCTTGCATTAACTTTAAATCCTCCTCTGCTGGCAAAGAGTCACCCAAAGTTAGGCGGCACTCCAGCCCCAGCTCGGTAAGTACGTTCCTCTTCATTAATCACTGGGTAAACAGAAGGACTAGCCTCTTACAATGGTAGCACACTGTGCTGGAAGACGGCAGGTGGTGTCATCAGTGAGTTTTTATGCATTTTCTCCAAGGGTGGTTTAATATTTTGGAAGAAGGAAAACTATATGCAGATTGCAAGTTATAAGCACCCAGCAAACAAATGAAATGATTTAGCCTATTTTTGGAAAAATCTTGTTTTTCTAAAAAAATTTTGTTTTGAATTAGAGGGATTTATCATTAAAAATTCTTCATATTTCAAACTTTTGGAGAGGTTCTTGAAGTTTACTGTGCCTGTGGGCAGTTTTGAAATTGAAAAATTGACAATATTATTTCAGATTGTCCATTGAAATTCGTCCGTATGTTGCCTACCATTAGCTTCCAATGGAAATATTTAGAACTTAAGAGCAGGGCATTGAAATTGATCTTCAGAGGGAAAGTCTGTTCATTTTAATGAATTTCAGTAAACTCTGAATTAAGGCAGTTCTTGCCTTTTGACCAAAATACTTCTCTTGGTTTGGGCTGTTATAACCGAATACCGCAGCTTGGGTGGCATCAACAGCAGACATTTATTTTTCATCATCCTAGAGTTTGGAAGTCCATGGTCAAGATTCTGGCACTATGACACTGCTTATGATTAGGGCGTTGATCTCACTCGAGGGCTTCAGTTTTAGGGTGTCATTACCTTTTAAAGATGTCACCTTCAGGAACTCCTCGCCTGGGCACTGGTTATTTCAACATTCAGTTCATATAGAAGACGTTTACAATTTCAAGGTGCTTGCTGCTTTTTCCTTACACAATTGTAACTGGAACTTATATGTTAATGACTGGCACTTAATATTGCAAAAAAATTTCTATGTTTTGAAATTAAATAATTTTCATATTTAGCTGATATTTAATGATGCTTGCACATTGGTGCTCTAAGAGTTTAAAAAGTGAGAGGAAAATGCTCATAGAATTGTGATTCTGGTATATTGCTAAAAAAACATATTTTGAGCTCAAAATTTTATGAGAATAAAAACTAAGGACAGAGTGAACTGCTGTGGTAGTATGGTATTTCAGCTTAATTAGACTGCATGCTATTGCACACAGCAATGTTAGATTTTGTCTTAAAAACGCTGAAGTAAATATTACTGTGACACTTGTGAGACATGATTATGTGTATGTGCGCATGTGTGCATGTGTGTGTGCATGCATTCCTGTGTTTTCTCAGATTCACTGCCATGATCCTTATTGGTAACTGTAAGGTAGGAGTGGCCTGTGTTGCATTGTACTGTTAACTCCTGGGGGAACCCTGAGATCTAGTATTATGTAGAAGAAATTAAAGGGGTTGTTGAGAATGAACAAGCTCATGCTGGGTAAAGAATAAAAGTATATGTATTTTACTGTGTAGTACTTTATGATCATAAATGTCAGCCTATAAATTATTTATAGAAATTGTCATAGCAGATATTACAATGAGGCAATCTTATACTAAAAAATTCAGTGTATATCTGAATTCAAATTTAGTCCATCATCCTGTTATTATCTGGGGCTCTGAGTTAATTCACCAGTGCATTATTTATTGTTTAAATTGTTCTTGCGCATATGAACTTTTAGTTGTTTCTGGTTTTTCTTCTAACATATTGATCATTACCTTAATTGTTGGTTCTATAAGATAATCTTGGCTTATAACTTTTTTCTTTTCTGTATCTGACCTAGAATCAGCCATTTCTCTGAGTAGCTCTTACTTTTTTCATTGGCAAATGATGCTTAGAAACCTAGATCTGGTTGCTGTGTGTGCTTATTTTTACCAGAGGTCATGTAGTTTTAAAAGTCAGTGAATGGATTAGCATATGAACACTAGCAATGGGGCTTTGATATTTTAGTAAGCATTAAAATCTTGATAAAAAAATCTTGGTCAAGAAAAGATGGAACTTCTATGCTGTACTTTGTATTTCTCTCTCTTCGTGAAGTTTTATTTTTATTCTACTGAATTCAAAAAGGCCATGTATGATAATATTCTGGGAAGCTGATAGTGGCATAGGTTTTGAAACCCATCATATAATTAGAGAAACTAGTAGACTAAAACCAGCCGGTCAATAATGTATTCAACTGGGACAAAGTACATTCATGAACCTCACAGTAGGAGTCAGTGGGAAAACCTTGGACAGTGTTAAGAACTGGGTAGTATCAGGATATGTGACGGAAGAAGCTCAGGGACTGATGCTGCTGCTCAGAGCCCCCAAAATTCTCATAGGGACATATGGTGGCTCCTTGAGAATTTGTAGAACACACTGACACCTAGAAGGGAAACGTGGTGGCTCTGGTGAGAGAAGGAGTACCAGGAGAATGGGGGATGGGTAGGTCTAATGGTACTAAGGTAGTCAAGGTAGTCTGTAGTCTTTTGGGACTTCTCTAAAATGACAAATTGAAGCACTTTCCTGCCCTAAATCCAAAGTATTTGAGTTTGTGCAGGGAAGTTTCCAATGGACCCAAAGGAAAGAGAAGGTCCAGAAAGATGTGTTGGAGGGAAACAGACGAGCTAGCGATTTATGGGGTAGTAAGGAATGTACCAAGAGAGCTTTCCCTGTTGTTGTTATATCCCCAAATGCATTTCTCTAACTTTTTAGCTTACATTAATATATAGTATTTATGGTATTTTGATGTATTAGCTGTATTTTGATTTATTATTCATAGTACAGAAAGCATAACATACTATAATTTAATTTCTGACTTTTCTTAGTTGTGATTACCTATTCATGTGTTCATCACTAGTATAATTAGTATAATTTTATTCACACACAGAGACCTGAACTATTTTATATACTATGAAATTTCTCTGACAGCAACCAGAATCAGATAACCTGTCAGCCTTTCTGGGTGATACTGCCTGTGTAGTTCTCAGTCATCCTGTTCTAGTGTGGACTAACGGGTTACTAAGCCCATGGTGCTGGGGTTCTGCTCCCCATCTTCCTGAGGACTTTCTCTTCTGCTTCTGGGGTGGGTAGCTGTCCTGTCCTCTGGGTTACTTATCATTCTTGTTCTTGGTTTATTTCTGTTTTGTAGAAGTGTATTCTCTAGTGTTTCTTGAGGAAAACATGATGGGGAGTTTGCACATAAGCCTGTATGTTTATTTGCACTTGATTTCTTCTTGAATCATCTGCCTGGGTTTTTTTTTCTAGTTTAGAAACTTTTTTTTTTTTTTTTTAATTTTTTTTGAGACTGGGTTTCCCTCTAGTCACAACTGTCCTGGATTCGCTATGGAGACCAGGCTGGCCTCAAACTTAGAGAGATCTGCCTGCCTCTGCCTCAGTGCTGGGATTAAAGGCATGTGCCACCATGCCTGGCTAGGAACTTCTTTTTTGAGGCCAGGTCTTCCTCTATCCCCAGCTGACCTGGAACTTGCTGTGTAGACCAGGCTGGCCTTGATCTCATAGAGAAACACCTGCTTCTGTCTCCCAAATACTGGGTTTAAAGGTGTGCGTGCCATACCTGGCTCCTTTTATTTTTTAATTCAATTTCTTTCAGTTTCAGCAAAGTTTTAAAAATTATGAGACTGGAGAGATGGCTCTGTGTTTAAGAGCACTGGCTGCTCTTGCAGAGGACCAGGGTTCAATTCCTAGCACCCACATGGTGGCTAACAACTGTCCGTAACTCTAGTTCTAGGGGTTCCGATACCCTCTTCTGAACTCTGAGTCTGTCATACAACATGGGTGCACTTACATACATGGAACCAATGCAGACATACATATATAATAATAATAATAAAAAGTATTTAAAATGTTCTCCTTTTAGTCACTGTCTTTTTAAAAAATATTTTATTTAATGTGTATGAGTATATTGCCTGCATGTGAGTCTACCCTGGTCTACCCTGGGGTGCCTTTCTGCCATACCACAGTACTTAAATTACTTTGATTGGGAACTTGTTTGCCTTCTTTTCATTCTAAAAATTTTGCTTCTCTTCATGTGTCCCAGAAAAATGTCTGATTTTTCCCTAGCAAACTGGAGACGATTTCTTCTTTCTTATAGGAGGCTGCTATAATTTTTGTTTGTTTTTTGAGTCCCTTCTGTTTGCTACCATTTTGTTCTCTCCCTGTGACAGGAAGGAATGTTTTATTACACATTTTTAATATGTGTGTTTAACTTGATTTTATCGTCCGCAAAAATGTATTGGTTTGATTATTTCATAACTATGACAAAGTTTATTATTTTTATAAGCGTTTTGATGGTATAACAGTGCTTAATAAATACGGAGATTTCTTTGACCTGACTCATCTGCATTAATTTATACCTTCATTTCCCTGTTATTTCAAAGTATTAGTTAGCTTGAGTAGGCTCTAAGAGTAGAGTTGAAAAGGAAGAAAAATTGTTAAGTATGTTGATACTTAACTATTTTAATGAGGGAATGATTACTTTTTGGACACATTATGGTAGAAACTGTTTTAAAACACCATACCTTGGAATGGTGATGCAACTCAGGGACAGAACACCTGTCTAGCATTTGTAAAGCCCCATGTTCAGTCTCTAGTGCTACACAAAACAGAAACTGAAAACGGTCCAAACAGTTCACAGCTTTGTGTTTGTGTGTGTGTGCACACGCAAGCACACGTGTGTGTATGTCTCTTTCTCTTCTCTTTTCCTCTTTCTCTCTTCCTCTCTCTTGCTCTTTCTTTGTATGTGTGTATCTCTCTCTTGCTCTCTTTCTGTATGTGTGTATATCTGTGTGTGTATGTGTGTTCCAGATACAGGCTATTGTATGTTAGGAATTATGACCGAAGTCAAGGAACCAAGAATGCCTGTACACTAGTCTATACTTGTTAAGATTCAGACATAGCATAAAGAATCTGATTTTATTTTAATTAACAAATATCAAAAATATATTTGATGAAGTTTGTTTCTAATATTTTGTTGAGTGCCTACTTCCTCTGGTACCCAGTCTTTGGGTAGTATGTAATGCTATTACTATCATGGTAGGCATTCATTAGCCTT